GCGCCTCGAGTCTCCAGAAGCCCACGTCAGGGCCCCTCCGTCGCGCTCCGCGACTCTCCCCCGCTCGGGAGCCTCCCGCTAAAGACGTTCTCTTCCCACGGGGGATGTCCACTCGCGCCCGCCCTCAGGAGACGTCCTCCTCTTCCCTCCACGCCACTCTTTCTCTGGTTTCTCCCATGGGCCGTCAAAGGATGGGGCGCCCCTCGAAACTACAGCCCCTTTTCGGGCCGAACTCACCGACGAAGTCTCCCAAAGAGATAAAAAAAAAAACAAAAAAAAAAACGCACACTTCCACAACTCTCCACCGAAAGCCTGCGCCTGTTACCGGACGGGAAACGCGATACAGCATCCCCGAGCCGGACACCGCCCCGCCCCAGGCTCCGCTTGCTCGAAGCCAGCTCCGCCGTCACAGCGGAACGCGACGCCCGCGCTCGCTTTCAAACTGATCCAACATGGCGCTGGCTTGCGGTGCGCATGCGTGGCGCTCGGCGCCCGGGGCCGCTGGGTGAGGGGCGGAGGCCGCAGGGGAAAGGGGGCGCGGCAGGGTGTAAGGTCGCACTCACAGCCGGGAAGTGTAGTTTCTTCGTCCTCGTCTTTCTGGGGGTGGGGGGTGGGGGGTGGGGGGCGGAGGGGGTGGTTGGTTGACTCCGGACAGCTTCGTCCGGCTGCCCCGCACGCCCGCCCCTCCTCGGTCACCACTCTTTGCGGCTACTCCGCGCAGATGATAGGCTGAACTTCCCTCGGCTGGCTCCCCGGGAGTGTGTGAGGGGACGAGGTGGGGAAGGAGACTCGGGGGCGCTGGCGGCTGCCGGTTTGGTCTCGGCCTCCCCGCCTTCAGAGCACCCCCTCCCAGGATAAGACCATCTCCGCCGGTGGTGGAGGGGCAGCTCCCCGGACCACTTCCTTCCCTCCCTCCTCAGTGCCTTCCGCATCCCATCCCTGAGCCCGGTCCTTCTGGGCTTGCAGCCAGCCCCTCGCAATAGAGCAGATGCGAGATTGGAGGAGGGAGTTTGGTCAGGGATGGGATTTAACAAATTCCTTGGGGACCTTGATTCCCAGGGAAGAATGTCAGTGACCCAGCACGGATTGGGGACCCAGTCAGGCAGCCCAGAAAAAGGGAGATTATATACAAACAGATGTAAAGACCACTAACAACATACGTGGTTCTGTCTACGAGGCTGGGACAGGATATGAGGTGCGAAGAATCCAGTTTCAACCAAGTGGTGTATCCAAAAAAAGATGTCATCTCAATATTGGTTTATGTTTATTTTCCACTGACCCTGTGGGTGAAGATATCCTTGACCATTACTCCACCGGAATATGTTCCAGTCCATCCGATGTTACATCACAAGGTAATGGCCCTGTAGTCCTGCTGTTTGTTTTCTTCTTTGCACCCTCTGTAGCCCACTAAACTTAACCTTTCCTTTTTTCCTGGCAAACGAAAAAGTCCACGAGCTATAAAATGCAATTGAGTGGTTCAATTAAACACGTTTATTGTGGCAGGAAGTGCTAGTGATTTGAAAATGAGTACGTCAAAGTCCCTGCAGGAGTTTACACCCTAGTGCTATGTTCCAATAATCTGTGCTTCTTTAAATCAGTCAGTATCAAGTATGTTGCTGATAGGAAATAAAGAACTGTGTTATATATGCTGGGGCAAGCACAGATCAGGAACCAGCCAAGGACTGTTAATGGCATGAGCTTAAAAAGTTAGACATCTTTATTTACATTCCACCAGAATGTCTTTTTAACCAGTCCTTCTTTAAAATAATTTCTTAAAGTTTCCTTTCATAAACAGTATTATTAACGCTTCTCTTACTTTTTTCTTTCATCATGGGCATATATAGCAAATGTGTCCTAATGAGGGTATAAAGTGAAAATAAAGAACACTGAGAAAATATTAAGGAAATGATCAAATATATTGACCTAATTCATGGATCAAAATAATTCTTCTTTGTTCCTTCACAGGTTAAGAGATATGGAGATCTCCACAAGGATTTGGAGAAGAGTCCCAATAATTATTAAAATTCTGGACTAGATCTATTAGGAAAGGTAAAGAAACTGAAAGTCTACTAGGAAACAGGAGCTGTAATGGTTTACTAAAGCTGTTCAAATATAGATGTCAACTAGGTGTTATGCCTTGCTGGAGAACAAAATAAGAGAAGGTGGGTTTATGATCCAACCTAGACCTTTAGGTGAGAGCTAATTAAGACATGGTTCTGATCATTAAACTTTAAGAAGGCTTATTGAGGCAGCTCTTTGGAGAGTTTTTTAAAAGGTAGATTTAAATGTGTCATTTCAAGAAAAGAAACTAGTATTTCTGATCATCAAGAAGGAGCCCCACACTGTTTCAATCACGTTGGCATATATTAACTCACTTAATCCTTATAATGACTCCATGAGATAAGTATTACTATCCCCAATCTATAGATGTAAACATTGAAATTAAGGGTTAAGCAGTTTATTCAAAATAATGTAGCTTGTGGTGAGTGGCAAAGTTAGGATTTGAATCCAGCTGTGTGTTTCTTCCCACCATACCAACCAGCTTCCCGTAACTGAAAACTAGATGATGGGCCAAAGGACCAATGAGACTCCAGTTTCCTGAACCCATTCAGAACAGAAACAGTATCTTACCTGTTTTTGCCACACCTACCACAGTACCTAATCCCTAGTAAAGGATTTAGTAAATATGTTTATATTGAACTGGTTTGAACTTGATCCTGTCTGAAGAGGTGAAATTTAAACAAGACACCAATGAAGAGGAATCTGTCATTCATATTTGGGAAGAATGTTACAAGCAGAGGGAACAGTAAGTACAAAGACCCTGAGGTAGGAAGATGCTTGGTTGTATTTGAGGAACAGCCAAGTCAATATGATTGAAGCTGAGTGGGAGAGAAGGCAGGTAGGAGTTGCCTTTGGAGAGGAAACCAAGGGTCAGATCATTTAATGCCACTGCCCTCACTTTAAAAAGACTAATTCCCGGAGCACCTGGGTGGCTCAGTCTTTTGAGCCTCTGACTTTGGCTCAGATCATGATGTTAATGATTCATGGGTTTGAGCCCTGTGTCGGGCTCTGTGCTGACAGCTCAGAGCCTGGAGCCTGCTTCAGATTCTGTGTTTCCCTGTCTCTCTGCCCCTCCCTGCTTGTGTTCTCTCTCTCTCTCTCTCTGTCAAAAATAAATAAACATTAAAAATAATTTTTTAAATAAATACATGAATAAATAATAAAAAGACTAATTTCTAAGAACGCTTGATCATCAGATGATGCAGCTTTACAGGAGTAAGGAAGCATGATTAAGCCTTTGGAAATACTAATGATTTATTGAATGCTTATTATGTACCAGGCATGGAGTAGGACAGTTAAGTGCATTATCTCAATCCTCACATTAATTCAACATTTAGTTATTATCCCAGAAAATGGGAAAACGGAAATATTAAATAATGTGGTTCACAATTAGTGGCAGAGACAGAATTTGACCAAGTTCTCTTTCAGTCCAAAGCCTGCTCTTCGTAGTATACCACACTTTCTATTTGAAAAACTATGAATAAGGAAGAAGGAATTCATGCGTGCATGCATTTAGCAATTATTAAATAAAAATTTAATTAAAAAACAAGTAATGATTCTTCATTACTATGTGACAGGCACTGTAGAAATAGTATTAAAACATAATACAGCATTTTAAAATTGTTTTGTATGATTATATTCTTACCAGTCATCTGTTTTTACAACTTTGCAGGTAGATGGACTATAAGAAGCTTGCCCAAGAAACTGCTCAAGAAATTTTAGGATACAATCAAGATACATCAGGCTGGAAAGTGGTTAAGACTTCAGTAAGGAAACAAGTTAAATATGGTTCAAGAGTTTATTTTTTAATGAGAAGCAATTCATTATATAGACTTTTTAAAATGTTTTTCTTTTACAAACCAAAAAAATATATTTTTACTTTTTGTTTGTTGGTTTTTATTTTTCATTTTTTTTTTTCTGTATCTGACAGCTAATTTATTTCTGGATTTTTATTCCCCTTTGAGAAAAAGATAACTGTTTCCAGCAAGGCTTCTAAAAGATTCCATGGAAATCTGTGAGTACAGTTTCCTATTTATAGACATTTTGAATTCAATGGCATTGATATATCTAGAATTCAGTGCTGCTTCACTGGCTATAACATTGCTTGATAGTAATCAGGAAATAGAAATTATTAAGTCACTAGTTTAAATTTGGTATTAATAAATTAGAGCAATTATGTACCACCTAATCATTTTCAAACTTGAAGACAACCAGGAAAAAAAGTCTTTCCAAGCGAACAATTCACTAAGACAGGAAATTTCTACATCAAGAAATAATTACTATAAAAACAGATTGGTGTTTCCTTGATAACAGTAGTGTTTTGCAGCCTTTCAAACATTTCACCTTTCCGTTAAATAAGCCACTATAAAATAAAGTTTTTTTCCCCAAGTCATTTCTCTTGCTGATACATGTAATGTTTTCTAAAAGCTGCTTTTAAGGATATTTTTGAGGATCCTGTTATTTCAGATATAACTACACTGAGGGTAGTGGGCTGACATTTTTAACCTTATTCTTAAGAGTTGTTCATTCATTGTTCATGATATCACATTAATGCAAACACACCGTATGTTATCGAAATCAAATTTTATTCCGTTCCTTTTTTTTTTGGAGTCCACTTTTTCTTCATTTTGTATTTCTTGCTCTTTTTTATCTGACTAAAATTTGATTACCTTTTGTCTCAATCCAATTTTTTTACTATCAGACAAAACTGGTATGCCTTGTCCTACTCATTTTAATAATTATCAGGAAGATAATCCCTGCTTTCATTGTCTAAATAAGTAATGATTCTAGGGACGCCTGGGTGGCTCAGCCGGTTGAGCGTCCAACTTCGGCTCAGGTCATGATCTCGAGGTCTGTGAGTTCGAATCCCACGTCAGGCTCTGTGCTGACAGCTCGGAGCCTGGAGCCTGCTTCAGATTCTGTGTTTCCCTCTCTCTTTACTCCTCCCCCGCTCATGCTCTGTCTCTCTCTCTGTCTGTCAAAAATAAGTAAACATTAAAAAAAGTTTTTTTAATACAAAAAAAAATAAGTAATGATTCTAATAGAGGCGCTTTCAAAAACAGACCGAGGAGGGAAGTAGGTGAGGTCAATGCCAGTGACACTAGAGGAATAAACTCTTAGAAAAATATTATAGCTTGTTGGCGTCTTACATACTGGACAAGTGTAGACAGCAACCTATGCGTCAAAGAAACCTTGGAAGTTATTTATTGATTCAACGATACTTCTGGGATATTTGTGTGCAATTGTGGCTCTACCACACCTAGAGCCATTCAAGGAGTAGCTCCAAATGGGCTGTTTTAAAGCTTTATGGAGATTTTTGATCAGAGGCATTTTACTCTTTCATGCAAAACTAAACAAAAATTGGGACTTTTTACACTCACATTTTAAGTGAAATTTATACGCACTGTGTACTAGTTATTGATGCACAAAAATATCATACCCCATTTCTTAATGTCTTAACACTATTATCCCATGGTCAGGATTCCAGGTGTAGCTCAGCCTGGTGCCTCTGCCTCAAGGATTCTTAGAAAGCTGCAATCAAGCTGTCACCTGGGGCTTCGGTCTTATCTGGCGGCAGCTCTACTTCCAAGCTCACTTCCATGGTTGTTGGCAGAATTTGGATCTTCCTGGGCTTGTTGGACTGAGGGCTTCAGTTCCTTTCTGGCTCTAGGCTGGAAGCCTTCCTCAGTTCCTTGACATAGGGACTGCTCCACAGGGCTATTCACAACATGACGTTTGCTTTCCTCACAGTGAGGAGTCTAGGAGAAAACAAGAGAAGGAGCAAGTAAGTCAGGAGCCAAAGCCTTTCTGCAGCCTAATCTTGGAAGTGACCTCTCATCACTTTTGGAATATTCAGTTTATCAGAAGTGAATCGCTAGATCCAGCCTGACTCAGGGGAAGGGGAGTCCACAAGTGTGTGAGTACCAGGAAGTGGAGATGAGTGGGGGCCATGTTAGAGACTATCACACACGGGTTTTGGAAAACCATCTTTTAATTCTTTTTTATAGTTGCGCTAAAGTCCAGTAAATATCAAACACAGCTTTAAAACGAGGGTTATGGGGGCACCTGGATGGCTCAGTCAGTTAAGCATCTGACTCTTGAGTTCGGCTCAGATCATCATCTCACAGTTTGTGAGTTCGAGCCCCACATGGGGCTCTGCGCTGATAGCACGGAGCCTGCTTAAGATTCTCTCTCTCCCTCTCTCTCTCTGCCTCTCTCCCCCTCACTCTCTCTCTCTCTCTCAAAATAAATAAAGAAATAAAAATAAATTAAGTTTGATAAAAGGTAATGCAACCGTTTTGCATACTTGTTTTCTCAAGGTCAACCCACAGATTCTTCTAAATTTGCCATGTTTGGGGCACCTGGGTGGCGCAGTCGGTTAAGTGTCCGACTTCAGCCAGGTCACGATCTCACGGTCCATGAGTTCGAGCCCCGAGTCAGGCTCTGGGCTGATGGCTCAGAGCCTGGAGCCTGTTTCCAATTCTGTGTCTCCCTCTCTCTGCCCCTCCCCCATTCATGCTCTGTCTCTCTCTGTCCCAAAAATAAATAAACGTTGAAAAAAAATTTTTTTTTTAAATTTGCCATGTTTATGTACAGAAGGAGAGTATGACTGGACCAGTTTTTTGTTTGTTTGTTTTTGTTTTTTTTTTTTCAAAATACCTCTATTATTCTGTGTCAGCTGTGGCAGATATTTAGGTTACTACAAAGGAAACTTGTCTGAACATGTTGGTCAGGTTGGTCTGCCTCGGTCAAAAATTGACCTCCCCTGGCCTGGATTGAGAAGAAAGTGAGAATTGCAGTCAAATCAAGGGGAAAATCTAGGGAAGCTTACAACTTTTCCAGTACATCAAAGAGAGCTCCACATTTTAGTTACAGAGTTGGAAATAACCAAAGTGAGAAAATGAAAATGAATTTAGAATGGGCAACAGAGTGTGAACATTGCACACTTTCGGCTAGATAGGATGGTCTAATGCTATTTGCCAAACTAGTATCTGGGAGAAATGTAATCCCTCAAAATGCCCTTTAGGGGTAAAGGGGTTGCATTATCAAATAAGTTTTTCTAAACACTCCAGACTATATTCTCTTCTTGGAAATACGCTCTTAAGATCAGAGAAATCCTAGTGTAAAGAAACCTATTTAACTTTTCCACATGTTTTTGACCAAGGACATGCTTGTAAAATATTGGCCTGGATAATGGATCTCTCATCTCAGATTTGGATTCTAATAGAAGCTCTAATTGACTAGATATGTACAGAGAAGTGATTTATTTTTCATTATTTCCCTGCTGTCATCCCAGTGTAGGCTATTACCATCTCTATCTGGATTAGCTCAGTAACTCCTAATGGACTCCATGGATCTATTCTTACTCAACTGTATCCTGTTCTTCACACAATGGTCAAAGTAGATGCTTGAAATAATTCAGATTATGTCACTCCCCTACCTAAAATCTTCTAAAGCCTTCCCATTGCATCTAAAATAAAATCCAAGCCCTTTATCAAGCTCTGCAAGGCACTATCTAACCCTAGCCTACCTCTCTGACCTCTCCTACCATTTCACCCTCGCTCTCCTACTACCGTTGCATGAATGCAATGAACTTAACCCCGCCTCAGAGCCTTTGTAGTTGCTCTTCACTTGCCTGGCATGTTCTTCCCCCAAATCTTTCCAAGGCTAATGTCATTTTTGTCCTCAAGATCTCAGCCTCATTGCTCTTTAGAGTGACCTTCCTGGCCACACCCACTTGCTGTTTACTACACCACTCTGCCACCTTCTTCATTTGCATCTATCACTATGTGAAATTTATCTTCTTCCTTTGTTCTCTCATTTAGTATATGTCTTATTAGAATATAAACTTGGGACACCTGCGTGGCTCAATCGGTTAAGTGTCCGGCTCTTGGTTTTGGCTCAGGTCATGATCTCACAGTTCGTGGGATTGAACCCCATGTCAGGATCTGCACTGTCAACATGGAGCCTGCTTGGGATTCTCTCTCTCCCTCTTTCTCTGCCCTTCCCCTGCTCACATGCTCTCTCACGCACTCTCTTTCTCTCAAAATAAATAAACGGTAAAAAAACAAACAAAAAAATACTGTAAACTTGATGGAAATAGGAACCTGAATAGGAACAAGATTATAAAGAAATCACTTTTGTTTGTCACAGTATCCCTAGCACCTGAAGAGTGTCTATCACATAGACACTTGGCAAATGTGTATTGACTGAACTTACGGACTTTAGTTCTATTATATTGGTTGCCAAATAGAAAGTATTTAAATTTCCCTTGTAACTGCAGTACAAAAATATAAACCAAAGATATCTTCTTAGCACTTCACCTTGATTTCATAATTCATACCCAAAAAGCTCCTTTTGTGGTTAGATTGGAGCACTTGGGTATACGCAAGAGAAGAGTGCCAATTCTTTGGTGGGAATTTCTTTCTTTCCACCCTCAAGGGATGTAATACAGATTACCAGCACACAATTCAACACTACACATTCCCCAAAATGTTAGCAGCAGCTAACATTTATTAATCTTTTACTATATGTCAGGCAGTAGGCTAATAATTTTCTTCAATGTTTAATTTACTCCTCTTAGATCCTACAAGTATTTTCTAGCCTGCGGCTTTTCCTTGCGTACATCACACTCATGTTTCTTTGCATGAATGCCTCATAGTTTTTTTATTGAAAACTGAATATTTAAGTCATGTACTGTGGCAACTCTGGATACAGATTCCACCCACCCACCCAGGGCTTGTTGTTATATTTGTTTATTAGTTGGGTGGTTTGTGTAGACTAATTCTGGAAGTCTATTCTGCAGCCTCTGATAATCCCTGCTCTGATTTTTTCCTTTGTTTTTATCCTTTAGCCTGTAGGAGGGATCAACATAAGCCATTTATTGATCACAAGTTGTGCTTAAGACCCCCAAACTAGCAAGATTTTTACCCTTTACAGTTGGATCTGTGTGTGGTTTACAGGCTGTTTTCACAATTCAGCAGTTTTATGATTTTTTCCTGCACTTAGCCAGGGACAAGTAACTTGGAAGTTCTGTAACCAGTCACTCCTCAGAGGGAGCACTCGTGGGCATAGAGACATTCTTCCAGAACAGCAGCAAAGAGTATGATTTTATTTTAAAGTAGTCAGGATACATTATGTGTCAGAGGTTACACTTAAGTCTCTAAAGGCAGTAAGGCTTCAATTCTTTGTTGATTAATCTGTATGCAGCTTGGAAAATGCTTGTAAGTCACCAACACATACCTTGCATTGAATGCCCCCGTGAGGGGCAGCCTAGGACATCCATTCTGATTGTTTCTGCATAGGAGCAGCCTGGTACATCCAGTATAATTATTCTGAGTGGGCAGTCTTTTACATCCACTCTGATTACCCCATAGTAGTGGCAGCCTGGTACACCCAATCAAAATGCTTGAGTAGGACCATCCTAGTATCTACACTCTGCTTGTTCTGCATAGCTGCGACCTAGTGTATCTAATCTGATCGCTCAGAGTAGGGGCAACCTGGTATAACACCCTTTGTTTTGATTAGAGGCTTTGACTTCTTTGACTGATTGCTTTGACTAGAGACAGCCCAGTATATCCTCCTGATTGCTCTGTATAGGGGAAGGCCTGTCTCTTCTTACTGCTCTGGAGAAGGGGCAGCCTTGTACATAAACTCTGACTGCTCTGAGTCTGGGCAGCCTAAGACATCCAATCTGGTCAGTTCCGGTGGGACAGCCTAGTACATGCATTCTGATTTCTCTGAGTTCGGGCAGCCTAGTACATCCCCTCTTTTCTAGGTGGGAGCTGCCTAGTATATACACTCTGATTGCTCTGAATACGGGCAGCCTATGTACCTACTCTGACTGTTCTGAGTAAGGGTATCCTCGTACATCCATTCTTATATCTGAGTAGGGGCAACGTAATACATCCACTCCACTTGCTCTCAGCAGGGACAATCTACTTCATGTACACAGCCTTCCACACCACAACCCCCCTGCCAGGGATAAGTGTGATCTTATGTTGTTCATCTAGCTGTTATCTCTCCCTACTTCTGGCTGGTCTTTTGTGCTTTTGCACTAGTTCCATGTAATTCCTCTAATTGTTCACTAACAAGATCTGTATTTTTTTTTTTTTTTTTCAAAATTTTCTCCACATTTTGTTCCAAATGAAATCCATCTTCTCAGGCATAGGTGAGATACTGCCAGCTCATTTTGTCTTGCTTTTGCCCCTGAGCAGAGCCTATGCACGACTATTGGAGCTGAGTGACGCCTCTATCCATGAGCAGAAGGGGGATGTGAGGGTGACATTGGGGAGAGATGCTGCTATGACTTCAGTTTGCCCTCTTAATGTAGCAGGAAGGGGAAATAGGCCTTAGTATTTACGCCTGTTGTGCCCTGGACAGAGCCCTCTTCCTATCAGTAAATTCTGGGTGAGGTAAGGAAGCCTCAGTCTTCTCAGCAGTGCCTGCTGGGAATAGAGTTTAACAGCATGAGCTGAGTGATGTCAGTGACCCACCCCTCTAGGATAAAACCATAGCCCTAGACTGGGAGCTAGTGGGGAGAGGGAGCCCCTCCTTGTCTTCCAGGTGTGAAAAGGGGTTGGCTAGAAGCAGATCGTGGCTCAAATGCTACAGACTCTTACTTTTCCTATCTAGATTTAGTAGATATTCTTGAATAAATGTTTCTCCGTTTCCTGAAAGCCCTTTGGTCATTTTCTAGAGAATTTCAATAGCTGTTTTTTAAGGTAATTTTCATCAGTTTGTTATTGTGGAACAGTTGTTGTCACTGTGGAGGAGGATTTACTAAAATTCTCACACAGCTACTCTGGAAGTCCCACCCCCAACTCTAGTATCACATAGGATATGTGAAAAATATGATCACTAAAAGCCCGTGAGTGTCTTATCATCTTACAGATGCTTCCCCAAGTTTACAGTTTCTAGTATGCCAAAATAAACACTTTATATTATTTTTCTCCTCCTCAACCTCCTAGTTACTCTTCTGGCAGTGCTCATTCACAAAAATCATAAAAGGCCATAAAGTATTTAGAGACATTAAAATTAGCATGTTGATATAAATCCACACATACCAAAAGGTTTTCATTGCTGCCTGAAATCTTCATGAAATGTATGGTCTGTAAATAAAGTGTAACTTCACATATACTGATCAGTTATTCCATATAGCAGCTAAAGCTGTTTAGAAACTGTAAAAGACAAGAGAAAATAGTTAAAATATATATTTATTTAATTTTTAGAGAGAGAGCATGAGCAAGGGAGAGAGGCAGGAGGACAGAGAGAGAATCCCAAGCAGTCTCCAAGCTCAGTGTGGAGCCCGGTGCAGGAGGGACTAGATACCAAAACCCTGGGATCATGATCCAAGCCAAAATCAAGAGTGGGACACTCAACCAACTGAGCCACCCAGGCACCATGGTTAAAATATTTTTAATTTAACCTGAGGTCACTTCATGTATAATGAGCACAAAGCTTTAGTGTAGATCGTAGTAAAATATCTAATGAACTGTTCATCTTAATGATCAATAGATATAAAAATATAGTTTAGATCCAAATATGACAAAATTGTTATCTCTGAAAGAGCCATGAACACAGTAGATGCTGATACCCAAGACGCATTAATGTTTTGTTTTCAAAGAGGCTTGATATTTACATATTTTTTTAAAGCCACTAACTCTAATTAGTGAATTAAGATAAGGTCATTTTTAACTAGTAGCCTACCCTTTGCCCAATACAGAGCTTTAACTGTGTTTTATAATCTTCCAAAAAGCAAAATAAATAATTTCTGCCTTGTAGTCATATAATACCTGTAGCTTATACTTTTCTCACCTTTACAAATGACTGGGAAATAAACATATTAACCATTGAGTAGATAGTCTAAACCAGGGGTTGGCATACTTTTTCAGTGGAGGTACAGAGAATAAGTAAATACTTTATGCTTTGCAGCAACTATGGTCTCTGTTGCACCTACTTAGCTCTGCCATTATAGCATAGAAGAACAACACATAAATAGACAATACATTTTTACGCCATTATAGCATGAAAGCATTATACGTAAGTAGACATAGACAACCCATGGTGAGTAAGTATGGCTGTGTTTGAACAAAACTAATTACAAAAGCAGGAAGTACACTAGACTTGACCTATAGGCCATAGCTTGCCAATCCCTATTCTAAACAATAGATATGAAAAGTCACAAATCCTTAAATGTTGATAAAGTTATAGGTATATTAGATATCCCTAAATTACATGAGATAGTCAACTCTTTTTAATGAAATAGGCTTTGTGTTAGGTGATCTTGCCCAACTGTAGGCTAAAGTAGTGTTCTGAGCACAATTACAGCAGGCAAGGCCTAAGCTGTGATGTAGATTAGGTGTATTATTGTGCATTTTCGGCTTAAGATATTCTCAACTCACAATGGAGAGAGCTTATTGTAAACCCCACCAAATCTTATTTATCTTAGTGTAACCCCATCAAAAGTCAAGGAAGATATGTATATGTTAGTTAGAAATATCAAAAGGTTAAAAACTCTTCATACTCCAAGTTTACAATATAACTAGAGAGAGAGATAACTCATTATGTAAAAAAACAATCAGTGGTAGTATATACATATCCCTTAATAATTTTGTACTTAAATTTTAAGTGTTATCATATCTGACTTCTTTTTCACAGGACCTGATAATTATTCAGGTTGTTTTCTCATTGTCTTATACAGAGCTTCATAATAAGCTCTTTAAAACTTTGTAGATCTGGGGGCGCCTGGGTGGCGCAGTCGGTTAAGCGTCCGACTTCAGCCAGGTCACGATCTCGCGGTCCGTGAGTTCGAGCCCCGCGTCGGGCTCTGGGCTGATGGCTCGGAGCCTGGAGCCTGTTTACATTCTGTGTCTCCCTCTCTCTCTGCCCCTCCCCCGTTCATGCTCTGTCTCTCTCTGTCCCAAAAATAAATAAACGTTGAAAAAAAAAAATTAAAAAAAAAAAATAAAACTTTGTAGATCTGAAGGAAGGAAACATTACATAGTAAGGAAATTTGAGGATATCTTATAGAGAAAATTAAGGACTAACTGAGCTTTTAAAGAGAAATTAACATACAAAGAAATAGTCTAATGAATTCCTTATTTGTTTCCCAAATCATAAAAACAAAGTTTCAGAGGAAGAATCCTTCATAAATATGACTATTTAGTGTAACAATACTGTTTGGTTTTTATCTCACTCCCCCCAGAAATTATAACTTTTTAGAGGTTTAAAATTTTGATTTTACTTAAACCTATGCCCTCAGGTTGGAAAGAATGATTAACTGGGAGAAGAGTAGAGCCAATATTGTTCAGACTTCATTTTAGTTCAACAACCTTCTCCTAAATACTGACTTTTAATCCATTTTTCTCACATTGTCTTAATTTCATTGATGGATAGCCAAATCTGATTTCACTGATGGATAAACACAAAGGTTAGTTACTTGCCCAAATCCTGACGTGCAAAAAATAAATGTAATTCAAAAGTCAGTGTCTATAAATAAAGTTCAGTTGTAACACAGACATGCCTATTCATTATATATTGTCCATGGCTGCTTTACTGCTACCCTGGCTAAGTTGAATAGTTGCAACATAGATCATGTGGCCTGCAAAGCCTGAATTATTTACCGTCTGGCCCTCTCCCAGAGAATTTGCTGACCACTGCTTTAGACCACATTACATCCATAAATTAAGAATTGGGCCTGGGGGCCTGGGTGGCTCTGTCTGTTAAGCAGCTGACTTCGGCTCAGGTTATGATCTTGCTGTTCATGAGTTCAAGCCCCTCATCAGGCTTTGTGCTGACAGCTCAGAGCCTGGAGCCTGCTTCAGACTTTGTGTCTCCCCTCTATCTCTCTGCCCCTCCCAGCTTGTGTTCTGTCTTTCCGTCTCAAAAATAAATAAACATTAAAAGATTTTAAAAAGAAAAAAAAGAATTGGGGCTAAAAGATACTGTACGTATAAACACACAAACTTCTCATCAATTGCATTTGGCTTATGATAAATATGGCAGGTAAATATTTATGAGAAATATTTTAGAAAAATCCTAAAAGAAAGTAGCCCCTCTAATAAGACAACTATAAAACATTATAAACAAGATATGTAGAAAAATGGATCTTGAAATAATTTATATTAATTACTGCAATGTTTATTTCAATAAACCTGGCTACTTCCAATTGAATAGTAGTGTTCTGAATTGCTGATATTACCTACAAGTGTTCTTTACTGCTATTTGCTAAATTAGCCTACTATGGTACATTATATTTTGAGCTAAGCCTAAACCAGTAAAATTTTGAATTTTCTCTATTTTGTTAACTATAGATATCGTGTTGAAGGAATAATTCCAGAATCAACAACTAAACTATCTGAGTTCCTCTACAAACCTGAAAACAGAGTTACATGGGATAAATCATTGAAAGTGTACAATATGGTACACAAGATTGATTCGGTAATTTGCTGTTTGATATCAGACTTCTACTGTATCAATATATTTTTAGTTTTATTAGTGATTTGAATATATTAAACCTGTATGATTATAGACACTTCATATTTTATAGACTCAATTGAATTGAAGTCTTTATAAAAGCCTTAAAACTTCCTTCTTTATTAGTCAAACGTTTAATTCTAATTAGCTTTATTCTCTTGTAAAGGCTTAGCACTTTCTGAATCTATCCAGCTTTCGCGCAGACATGTGCCTTTGGTCTTGAGGGGAATTGAACTTTATGTATTCACCTCCTCCATTAGGTAGAAAAAAAGATGAAGCATGCCTTCTTGATGGGAAGTCAGTAGATTTATCTTAATCATAATACATTAGACAGCAGGAACAGTGCAGACACATACTGTAACTTTTTTTAAGAGTAAGGTTATAGTATGGAATAATATCTATATATTGTGGTTATATAAACCTATATATCTACTTATATAGTTGTGGTTTTAGGACCTTTCACATACATTGTCTCAAACAGATGAACAGGGGGAATAAAAACAAAGAGAAAAAATTACAGGTAATTAGAGTAGAAAGTTTAAGTCACAGAGGTGGAAGGAAAGACCAAATGTAAGAGACAAGAAAAGCAGCACACTATAGACCTCTTATTTATTAAGACAGCTATACTTTATGGTATGTACATTACACCCCAATAAGCTGTTTTTAAAAATCGGGTCATAAAGTGAACTTTCACGATTTTCATAGACAATTACACGTGTAAAACTTCAGGTCACTGGGTCTTTGGTTCTTTGAGTCTCCAAACCATATTCCACACGTCAAAACAAATATCTTACTTATCTGCCATCACCTTATCATCTTCTCAGAACTTAGGTTAACTTTACCTCCTTTTATTAAATTGATTTTAAAGCCTGGGAGTTGGGGGAGGTTGTAGAAAAGCCCAGGAAAGTAAATGTTTCATTTTATAGAGAGCACCTGAAGTTCCTATCCACAAAAAACACCTATCTATTACTCTCTTGGGATTTAAACATACAGTTTGAGAAGCATAGTCCACCACAAATGAAGATTCACACATTTGGACTGTCTCTTTCATGACTGCGTGACACTAATCGCACAGTTCCTTTTATACTTCATATGTTCCTGCTGTTGCTGCAAATCAACTGTAATAACTAGATTTGGCATCAAAAAAAACTTAACTGATACAGAGAAATTATGTGACTTGCCCAAGGTCGCATACCAGGCAGAACCATGCCTTAATACTTGACCTCCTGATTCCAATTCTATGTCCTTTCCAATATATTACAGAATCTCTGAATACCATTACACTGCACCAAGAATTCTTTTACCTTCCTATGAATGTTTATAGTATGCATCTCCAGGGATGTTTTAATTGACTCATTCACCTGCATTGGTGAGAAAGGGATCCCTACTCTAGGGTTTATGAGGGTGATCAAAGACATGACATCTGACACTAGACAAATGAGATCAACACCAGTTTATCAATCATTAGTCACAGTCCAGGAGAGGAGGACTGTTACAACTTTGTCAAATTGGCATTTGTTAAGTGGAGCACAGGGTGCCAGATGGTGAGCCACAGTTCAACAAAAGACCACAAGAGAAATTGAAATAGAGAAGTTTCTTACTCACAAGTCCTGGAAAAGGTACACGGAACGCCTCCAGGAGCCACATGGGGAGGTCAAGGCAGGCCGCAGGCAGAGAGAGGCAGGCCCTGAGGCACCTGAGCATCTGTGAGTAGAGTGCTTTGGGATTCCTGGGCTAAGGCCAGGTTGGCCAATTCAAACCAAAAAGAGCAGGTCACTTTGTAAAACACAAGTCCCAGAGGTGTCCAAGGACCTCACAAGGGGAAGGTTGTGGGAGGCAGGGGAGACCATTGATCGGATCGGAAGGGGTGTTGGGGAAGTTACATCAGGAACTGACATTTCCTTGTGACTGTGGTGACCAAGGCATGCACTTGCGGGGGGGGGGGGGGGGGGGCGAGTGGCAGTTTAAGGCCCCCACAGGCGCAGTGGCCAAACAAAAAGTTTACTGAAGCAGCAATACCATGGAGTAGCTTAGCTAAACTCCCAAGGACACACCGCCATGGAGGGTGACATGGGAGTTGCACCCAGGAGCAGAGTAAATAACCAGAGGTTGTGCAACACCGGCGTTGTGGTGTCAAGAGGTTGAGGTGACCCCTGACTCCTACAGGAGGCTGTGATTGGTTGGATCAGTTCTGCTGTCCAGCAGGGAACTGAAACCCACCACTCAGGGACAAATAGGAACTGTGGCTGATCCTGTGATAAGGGGCATTGCCTGACAAAGGGGCCTTACCTGTAGGAACAGAATGGGGAGAATACCTTGCAGTTAGGCCATTTAAGACTCTCCCAACTTCAGCAGACGTCAAGGCGGCGCATAATACTGGTCCTTAATTTTAAGGCCTTATACCACAGGGTGCTAAACCAATATATTTGTCAGAATATATTACCTAATCAGTGTGGACTGGTAGAAATACACTGGGAATAAGGAACATGGGTTCTAGTTCTGTACTTATCTCTAGTTTTGCATGTGATTTAATGTTAGGCTTTGGTTCCTTCGTCTAAAAATTTAAGGAGTAGATAATAACGAAATTCCTTTCTGAATTTTCTGCGCTTACATTAATTCCTCACCAGATATTTGATTTCCAGATTACTTTCTCCCATTTCTGTACATTGCCTTTTCATTTTATTTATGGTTTCCATTGCTGTGCAGAGCTTTTTTGTTTGATGTGGTCCCACTTGTTTATTTTTGCTTTGGTTGCCCTGTGCGTATGGTTATAGATCTAATGTTCCTCTAACACTGAAAACGCGAGCAGATTTGATGATGTTCTTCTAACTTCAAAGCCCCCTTCTTTTTCCAAATAGTAGCTAATGTTATGCAGTGAAATTCTCTGGGAAGAGATACAAAGGATAGATATGAAGTAACTGTTGCAATCTTTACGGTTTGATTTGTTCCAGGACACATTCATATGTCATACCATTACACAAAGTTTTGCCATGGGCTCAATTTCCCCCCGAGACTTTATCGACTTAGTATACTTCAAGCACTGCGAAGGGAATATGGATATTATCAGTTGTAAGTTGAAGCATTTTGCCCATATTTTGGAATTACTATGAGTCATTAATAAATCTTGTTTTCCTTTAACTCACAGTTTGGGAGAAACTGCTTTCAATTAATTTGCTATTCTCTTTATTTGGTGAGACCAATAAATGTATGTATAATATAGACAAGCCTGAGTTTTACCCAACTCTGGAGGTGCCATTTATATCAGTCAATAATTATGGCATCTCTTGGCCTTTTTGCAATTTATACCATGCAGCACTGAGTATAGACAGATAACTTGTAGGCTGAAACTTCACAGCATACATTTTAAAACTACTAAGACACAAAGTTAATCTTTGGATATGCTATGTTATATATGAATTATGTAGATTGGGCATATCCAGTAACTGATAAAATTCCTGAAGAAATTTTCATTAGATGAGTCTTTACATAAATGTGCTTATATTTCTTTTAGAAATTGGAAGTTTTGATATCCTTAGCTCTGTGTCACTCTGTAAATGTGTCACTCTGTAAAATGCAAATGTGTATAGTCTTTTCCTAACTTGCTTTATTCACTTAACACATACCAGTTCATACTTGGACTCAGATAAATACAGTAACTCCTGGTGAAGGGATTTTGGTAGGACAGTAGCCTAAAGCCCTGTTTTTCTCCAGAATTCAATTTAATCTCACCATTCCTATCTGAATAATCTTCTCTATTGTAAACTACTTGGGAGTAGGGACAATTAAGTGTTGTAATTATTATATTCCAACAAAGTTTCAGTTATTCTATGTCTGTAGTACTCTAAATTTCAGATACTAGACTACTACATAGTTCTGCCCGCTCAAACACAGCTCTGTTGCAGCATAGCAATAAGGCCTGATATTCATCACTTGTATGTGGCTATCCCTTGTAGTTTCATATAGTCGTCATTGAGTTGTCTCCTTTTAAAATGAGAGTGCATAAAAGTTTATCCACCATCTGCAGCACAAAATACTATATGTCTGAATTATAGACCTGTTATTTTCTGTATTTGAAGGAGACCATTTCAATCTCATTTTTAGTGGTCAGAGGGAAGGTAAAAAAGAAGTATGGAAGAAGTTAACATCAACAAATAGTAGTAATCCGTCATTCAGTGATCAATACTAAATTTGCTTTAAGCAATTTTCTTAAAGTGAATTTTTGATGAATACTGAGTTTTCTTCTTAACGTTCCTTTTGTTGTCATTTAACTTACTACGCAGCTTGCTTTGAGCTAAATATTTTGTGTGCATCATTTCACCAATGAGGAAACTAAAGTTCACAGAAATTAAGCTACATTAGCTAAGAAGCAGCTGAACCAGAACTAAAACTCAAGTCTTCTGACTTTCCAAACTCTGGGTTAACTATATGCCTCATAAAAGATCCACACTTGTTTGTGAAATACAACCAAAAAAGTTTTAAAGAAAGACCAGGATAATCTCTGTATTTTAAACAGAGAAATACTATGTTAATCTCACTTCCAGCAGTACCGTTATGCCAGCACAATAGGACCTGTTGAGATGATGAACTCGCCGTGAACAGGGAAAATGCATTCAGCCTCATTTGTCCGTTAAGTGATTTACATTGCATTTACCACAGAATTGATTGCCTGTGTTAAAAATCCTAAAAGAGAAGTCACCATCTCTGACAAGAGAAGGATTCAGTCGCCAAGAAAAAAACAAATATATTTTTAAAAATACTTTTAGGGCACCTGGGTAGCTCAGTTGGTTAAGCCTCTGACTCTTGATTTCGGCTCAGAGGAGGATCTCATGGTTGGGAGGTTGAGCCCCACGCTGTCAGCACAGGAGCCTGCTTGGGAGTCTCTCCTTCTGCCCCTCCACCGCGTGCATGAGCACACAAGTGCGCTCTCTCACTCTCTCTCTCTCTCTCTCTCTTTCTCTCTCTCTCTCTCTCACACACACACACATAAATAAATAAATACAATGTAAAAATATTTTCAGAAAGGGTATATATAATTATCATAAACTTAGAATCAAATCACCTCCCTTCTACATTCACATAGAGTATGGCTATGCCACACAGTTCTTAAAACAAATTCTACTGATTTTTAATTATCCTCTGAATTAGCTACAGGGAATTGGCAGAAAAGAGCATTTAAACCATCTTTCCTGACAGACCAAATAACTACATCAAATATTTTATTTAAAAAATGATTAACAATTTATATGTAAGTATTGAATCACTATATTGTACACCTGAAACTAATATTCCACTGTATGTTATCTAACTGGAATTCAAATAAAAACTTTAAAAATATACAGGGGCGCTTGGGTGGCTCAGTTGGTTAAGCATCTGACCTCAGCTCAGGTCATGATCTCACGGTCTGTGAGTTTGAGCCCCACATTGGGCTCCGTGCTGACAGCTCAGAGCCTGGAGCCTGCTTCCGATTCGGTGTCTCCCTCTCTCTCTGCCCCTCTTCCACTCATGCTCTGTTTCTCTCAGTCTCAAAATTAAACATAAAAAAAAATTTTTTTAAGATGTAAAAAAAGGATCTAACCCTAAAAAAATAATAATAATAAATGGTTAGTAAAATTTATAAACCTGATATCTTCATAGAATAGTCTTTTCCTTTGTCATTTTTTTTTGTTTCAAATCTCAGGAGCTAATTAAATGATACTTTTAACACATTTTCTTATATGTAAAAGGTAACAACATCTTTAGAGATACTAGAATGAGATCATTTGAGAGGACAATAGTGCTCATACAGGCATTTTCTCAGTTTTGACCTGTGTGCACATACATATGTACAAACATACATACACAGGTATAAAACTAATATCAATGCTGACAATAACTAAATTAAATTAAATGCTATATCACACATTTTTTTTAATACACTACTTCAAATAGAATTTTTCATCCTTGTGGAATAGTGTTCATTTTCTTTCTTTTTTTTTTTTTAAATCACTTAGCTAACAGTGTGGATTTTCCAGCATACCCACCATCGTCAAATTACATACGTGGTTATAACCATGCTTGTGGCTATATATGTTCTCCTCTGAAAGAGTAAGTGTTACTTGCATTTATTTTATTTTAACGGCTTTTAGTTGAATTCTTAACTAAATTCCTAACTCATTGGTACAAGTATATGCCAGCATATTCTGTTAGGGGGGAGAAATTGCCCCTAAGTGTAATTTAAATGACAATTTTTATAAGTGTTTTCATCATGAGAATGGATAATTCCCTACAAAGTATGATGTGAGGTCTCTGGGATGAGTCACACATACACATGCATTGCCTGCCCCCCATCCCTTCACCCCCAGTTAACTTTAACCTGATGCTTCAGATTTCCCCATTAGAGTCACTTCTGTGAATTATTAAGCAATTTTTGTAAATTACACTTCCCAAGAATTATAATATATTCACTATTATCAGCAATGAACGCTTCGTCCTAAATGAATTCTTTCCAGTGGACCACCTACAGATACCTGCAGAATGAGATGTACAGTAGGTAAATTTGGAAAGAGCTGGAGAAATCAGAGATGAGTCACTACCCACAGGTGACCAGCCTAGGGGTAAATGGTGACATAAAATACACATATTTTGTAAATGTATGTACATTAATTCAAGGTAGTTCATCACAAATTCCTTAAGTTTTGATTTTTGCTAAATGATTTTATATAAGTAAAATATATCAGCACATAAAAACTTGTAAAATTTTTTATTGGCCAGATATAAACCTCTCAATAGGAGGGGAAAAAAAACTTATGTGAAGAAAGTCAAAATAAAATTACATTTTAGGCTGTATTCCTTAACGTGTTCTCTACTGCATTACAGAACCAAAAGAATTTCACAATTACGTACATTAATGGACAGGATCATTGGTGCAGATGATATGATGGTGATACATGGTCTTTCTACCCACCTGTCACTTTTGAATCTATGGTCAAGACTGCATTCTCCACAGCAGGAGAAAGCAACACAAGGGAAGGGGTAGTGCTCCGAATCAACTGGGTAAATCAGCCACTGGTGGGGACTCTAGTCAGGAAGCTACACACTCTAAGGTGTGCATCACAGCCTGAGGCCCCGTCTTGCAT